TAAAAGCAAAAAAAAAGCCACTCTCTATATGAAGATTTCTGTCTTCTGGGTTGTTGCGCTGTGTAGTCTGGTCAACCAGACTACACAGCGCAACAACCCAGAAGACAGAAATCTTCATACTCACCGCTGTGAAAACCTCAAATCTTACACTCTCTGTATCAAAGAAACCAAAAGGCAAAACATCACTCTTTAAGAATATAATAAACTCTCTACTGACCTGAAACCAATCTATGGTACAACAGTTGACAATGGCAGGGAACTTGCGGATGCGATTCCGAAAACCATCCCCAATGGGACTAATAGCCAGCACAATGTGCAGCTGATCCCTTACTATAGACACAAACAGGTTGAACAGGGCATCAAGACTCCCATCTGTCTATAAACATAACAGCAAAAAATGCAATAAAATTCTCATGCTTGTACCAAGAAAAGCAGCAACATAATAAAGCAGTTAAATATTTGCTTGTTTTATATGAGTGAGAAACATGGTCTCCGATAGTAAAGGAAGAACATGACAATGGTAGAACAGGGACTTGAGAAAAATACATGGAGTTAGATAAAACATAATATTAATTTTTCTAAACCTATCTGCATAGAACAGCAAAAAACAGTGCATAAAGATAAAAGGAAGTATGACTAATACCAAACAAGACCATGACAAGAGTGATAATTTTCTACATATCCTCATAAAGTCTTCTAGTGCAATCAGCTGTGTAAGTACAAAGTTACATTCCATTGTTACTGAGACTGTCTGTCTCAATCACCATGGCAGACACTGCCACAGACATTTTCAGAAAACAAATTGTAACTCCATACTCACATAACTGACTGTCACAAAAACTTAACTATATTCAGTCACTGTGCATGCTTCAAATCTTACATAATCTAAATGTATTTTTCACACTTCTGCACGCATCTTTGGTTTTGACATTAATTTATTGCAGAAATAAATATAATGTCGCAAAGTTAATTACACTACAAATATGTATATAATTACGCAGAGACAAAAATTAGTTTTACCTGTATTTTTTTAAACAAATACCATATTAAAAAATGTGTGAAGTAATAAATGTAAATGTACATATAGTTTATGTTACATAAGAACTTTGTTATGGTGAGGTGTTTTTGAAAAACTTGTAAAGTATGGTTTAAGCTCTTAAAGTAGAGGTTATATTGGGAGATAAGAAAAACAAAATTAAACATACTAGACTTGACAGAGACTACCTCTATCTGATGGACTAAAACAGGAATTTGCTTATGCTAACAGGGGTTTTGTCTCAGTGGAAACCTTGATTATTCAAATTAGGGGTCTGTTGTTGCTGATGAGAGTTTATACCATCAGGCAACTTGTCCTTTGTGCAATTTTGGTTTGTCACTTCAGCTGAAGGCCTCCGTGATTTGGAGATCGTGGGCCGTGCACCTTTTGAATGATACCCTGGCATCTGCCTTGCAGTTTTGGAAAAGCATATAAATACCGAGTCAGGGTAGCTGAATGATCAGCCCACTCGTTGTGCCGACTTGGCCGTCTTTTACAGTGACCCTCGTGGATTTGCCTGTTACCAATTTACCAAGGCGTGTTAGTCGCAATGAGAAGACACTTGCAGCTTCTAGACGTTGCTGCCAGCCAATCAGCTCCCGTCATCTCCAGCCTCTTTTTATTAACCTGTTTTCATGTCGCTTAACCTTGTCCTTCCTAATAGTGCCCACTCTCTAGTTCTATGTTCTTTGACCATGTCACTTAAACTCATTTCAGTCCTCTACGTCCCGCATCATGGACAAGAGATGTTGAATCCTATTGGTCTTGATGAATGGTCCTAACGTTGTACCTGGCAAGAGGTCAATTGATCCTTCCTGAGACTGTCTGCATGTATGGTATGATAGCTGTGCTAGTTGGTTTATTGTCTGGAGTCTTGTACTTTCTCCATTGCAATGTAACCATCCTCTTGGAACGTTTTATTCAGATGTTGTATCTACCCTTCAAGGCTGCCCAGATCACAGATGATGCCCTGGACAGTCACTGTGTTTAGGACTGTTCTCTTTTGTGCTGGGTGATGTTCTGAGGTGACATGTAGGTACAGGTCTGTATGGGCTGGTTTTCTATACACTTTGTGACCCAGTGTTCCATCCAATCATCTGTTTATCAACACATCTAGAAAAGGTAATGAGCTATTGTTCTCAGTGTCCATGGTAAATGTACTGTTTCGGTTGTTGTTGTTTCTTGGCTCTACAACCCAGTTGCATGTTTTTGCCGCTTCTCTTTTCGGAGGTTTCTTGGTCTTGAAATGTGCATTTATGACTAGTGAGTGACCAGCCCACTGACTTTGCACAATGTCTACTCAATCCTGATTTGACTGCCAAAGCCATCTAGCAGTTAATCAGGAGACTTGGGTGAGAATTTTGCTTACGAAACACCTCGTATCATGCTCGTAAGGTTCTTTTACAAGCCGTAAATCTATGACATGGGGCCACCAGCTTTACTTCCTCTCCTCATCTAGATTGAACCCACGAACCTTGGGCCCATTGGCAAGCATGCTAACCACTAGTCCAGAGAGAGTGACAATGTTTTGGTGGATACTATTAAGAAATAGCAGGAATTTCTGAAGTTTGTCTTCTCCATGTGGCTATATCACAAAGGTATCATCCACATATCTGAACCAATGGGTCGGCTTACACTTCACAATTCTTAGTGCTGTTTCTTCATAAAGTTAGATGTAGAAATTTGCTATTACCGGGGGCAAGCGATGAACCCATCCGTCCGTCTCTTCATAGAAATTCCTTTCGAAAAGAGAGAGAGAAAACACAGCGTCTTTTGTAGAAACAATTTGTAATGAGCTGTCTACAGGAGACCGATATACTGGTGAGTGTTGATGTGGTTTCCTTATTCAAAATAGTCCTTGTCAATGCTACAGCTACTAAAGCAACACTTTGAAAGGAAGATGATAGATTTGTTCTGGTAAGTGCTGACTTCAACCTATTTTCTCTTCGAAGGGAAATTCTATGCACAAAGGGATGGTGTGGCCATGTACTGTCTCTGAAATGTTGAACTACATTTCATTTTGACGTGGCTTGTTGCCTGAGAAGATTTTATTACAAAATTAAACATGCATGACAACCTTAAGCACAGACTGCGAACATCGGGTTTATTGAAAGTTCTTTTACTAGTTTTAGACATGAGATATACAGGTGACAGGTAGATCCTTACACATGGTCTAAATCATATTAAAGTCATAATAATTAAATTAAGCTGATGCATCAATGCATTCATAATACATAAATGAGAATTGAGTTTGCCATTGAATAGTCAAGACATGTAGTGAAATGTGGAACCAATATGAACTTCCACAGTTTGTTTGAAATCATTTATATGAAATCAGTTAATGAGAAATCTTACTTGAATTGATTTATCTCGCTGTTTGTCAAACTGTCTCATCTTTTCACATATGTCTCCTTTCTCTTCTGGTCCAAAAATGTTTGGAACTTCACCAGATTTCAATAAGTTACTGATGTCCTCCAAAAACATTTCCTCTTTGATCTGTCAAACAGTAAACATGCCATACCAGTTGTTGCTATAATACATAACACATGTAAGTTACAACAATACAAACAAATGTTATTTTGTCATTAGCAGCTGAACAGACTTACATGAATAGAGAGTTTCTCTTGCAGATGACACTAAAAGAGTGTGTCTATGCCCTTTCTTAAAGGTTTTGTTCACAAGTAAAGTAAAGACAATTTATATACTCTTTATATGTGCCAAGTACTATAAACATTTATAAACTTGACAAATTATTTGGTGAGGGGACAGATACACAGACAGATGGATGCACAGATAGGACGATACCATGAGCCCATATTTCCAAATAAAGTAAAAGAAGCAAGTTTGAAAGCATGGCACTGCTAGTTTAAATATTCCATTCATATCAAATACAGAGCAACATAGTACCATACAGTATGATAGCTACAGGAATGTGCTATGTTACCAAATTAAAACTGATGTGTTAACTATCTTAATTATTATATTAATTACCTGTGAATCAGTGAAGAGAAACACTGCATGTTGCTCTGTAGAACTCATACGTTGCAAGATGCTCTTCAAATTGTCATGCCACTCTTTCACACCGTACTGCTTGGAAACCTCTACCTGCAGAGTACACTCAGCTGTCACACATCATATTGCTACTACATGACTGACCAATTAGTGTTATTTAATAATGATGTTCCAACTGCAGATATTACAGAGCAAGAAATAATGAAGAGTGATAAGGTGTAAAATTTAGGAACTTATTGTTCAGACATGCTGCTAGAGGGGGTGAAGAAAACCACAGAAAACTCAGTCATGATGGGTGGTTTCATAGCAAACAAAAGTCAATTTTAGTTAATATAACAACTTACAATATTAAACTGAATTAATTATAGCTACCCAGCGCCGCTGCCAAGCCTGGAAGCATCCCTGGAAATCTTTCTTTGTCAGCCTGTCAAGCACCATCTGCGATTCTGCCTGAATCTCTTCTATCGTCTCACATCTCCTTCCCTTTAGCTGAATTTTCATCTTTGGGAAGAGGAAGAAGTCACACGGAGCTTAGAAAGGAAGTTGGGGTCGGTTCTTGCAAGATCTTTGAGCTCCTGACAAACGAGAAGTCGATTCTGCTTATATTCCTCAGACAGGATGCGTCGCATGGGGGGTTCTTCCTTTAGAATCAGCTGACAGGTCCCATAGCCTATCCCAACAATGTCGCACAAGTCGTTGATGGTACGACGTCGATCTTCGTAACATTTTCGGGCGTTGTGCTCGAAGATGGTCGTCCAGAACGCTTGTCATCATCGACAGCGGTTCGGCCATTTTTAAAACGTGAATGCCACACCAAAGTTTGCGGACTCCCCAAATGCTTGCTTTAGCATTTCATAGGTTTCTGTAGCCGTTTTGGCGAGTCTTTGGCCAAATTTGATGCACACGCCATTCCGAAATCGCAGGAGGGGCGGTGTAATGCCCTACCAAAACGCCCGTAACTAAGAAACAAATGCTAATTCGATGATGCCGGCTGGCACACTGATTCACTATGAATGTAGGCCGCACCCCCTAGCGGCAGAAACTCGTACTACATCCGGTTCGCCCTCTATTGACATAGTCTTGAAACTTTCCGATCTCACCTCGTAAGATTAACTTTCTTACTCTAAAATCAGCCTAGTGAAGCCCCAATTGACATACAAGGTTATGACAATATGCTGCTTGCTATTCTTGCCAATTTCACACCATAGGGACAGTAAGAGAGGAGCACAGCCAACTGTACAAATCATGATGGACCGAGGACTACAGTAATACATGGATTACAAGCTTTTTCAACCATAAACTCCATTTAAAAGCCTTTTTCCACTAACAAGAGAAAAGAAGTGTATTTGGGAGATTTCAGATTATAAATCAGATGTCATTCAGTAGCTACATAAAATCTTGACTTGGGAAATCAATCCACATGTCAATTTTATTTACTTGCTACGAAGTGAGTTATTATTATTATTATTTAGTGTTCTGTCTGATGACAGGTCCATATGAACAGGATCCTTCCATCATTTTCTCTTCTCGGACTGGGACCTGTTCATATACGTTCTTGGCAGATGATCCAGAAGTGGTTTGCCATTGCCTTCTTCTGTGTGTGAATGGAGTAATTGTTGGGATGCCACGGAGGAAAACTCCGTGTTGCCTAGACCACGGCCTTGCCCAACACAAGTTATAAATTCGGGCACCGCCAGGAATCGAACCCGAGACCCCAGGATCACAAGGCCAGCGTTCTAACCGCTAGACCACCGTGGCAGACACGAAGTGAGTTACAAAATAATAAATATTCTTATACAAGCCAAATTTATTTACTGCTCACCTGAAACAGCTCATACTCAGATATGTGTGCTGCAAGGCGAGTGAGAGACTGTCGTCCTGAACCCCCAACCCCAATTAACAGGCCATGGCTCTGAGGCTGCTTCAGAATCCGGCAGATCCGGGATAGATGCTCAATTGCATAACTTAAAACAAAAATAATGTAAGACTATGCTTATTTCAGGTGTGATACAATACTTGATGATCAATACAATACCCTCGGGATGTTACTGTCCACAAAAATCATCCTTTTAAAAGGTTTAGAGCCACATCTAGTAGTTTTTATAATGTGCACATTTCAACAGAAATAGTAAAATCTGTGTTTCCAGTACAGAGAAACATTTATGATGGAGTTTGATAGAGAAGCAAGGAAGTGATTGAGTGATTAATTCCTGAGATACTTTCATTGCATAGGTAATGCAGAATGAAATAACATAAATGTGAATGATGAACTGGAAATAATGTGGAATGAAATAGCCATAGCTAATTTCAAGGTACTTATGTAAACCACAAAAATTCCCCATCACAGTGACTCATTTCCAGACCATGAATTGTACTTGAGTAGGAGTACTAATCACCAAACCACATTGTCTTCAAAGTTAATGATTACAAATGCCAATTACTTTCAAGCCTTAGCCTACAGGAAAGTGTTTCTCTACTTTCACTGAACAGCGGACCCCTATTCTTAATCTTCCTGGGACTGTGGACCACCTCCCCAAAATTATCTCACACACCTTGATTAAACATAATATAGACTGACTAAAATATAAACAATGTGGAAGTAAAGAATGTGATGAAAACAGCTTACAATTTTGAGAAATACAGCATCAAAAACAAAAGAGAAGACTCTGCTCAACTCATATACTGCTCGGCTAAACTTACAGACCCTCAGTTTAAAAGTACTGCTATAGAGAACATATACCTGAAAAACACAAGATTCATGGGCTTCCTGGACATATTATTGAACTCATTCAGATAGCCCTCACACACAGAACGCAGGTGACTTAAGTCTAGAACCTCAATATAATTCCTTGAATCAGCCTTAGGATTAGCAAAATCACAGTAGATTAGTTTTCTCATATTTTCTTCACCAACCTGAAAGACAGATGTCATTAACAGCTCATAAACAATTGAAATCTCAATAATAGAATTTATTATTTAAATACATTTCAAATTTGACGGTATTTGTTGGAGAAGACAAGATTCCTTACACAGCTATTTTGAATCTAGTTTATATTTTATTTGTTATTTTAATATTATTAACAGAACCCAATCCAGAAACCATGGAAGTAAATGGTGATCACATAATGATTTTGGACAGTACATATAGGTGAAAGACAAAGAAAAGAATTGAAGTCAATTGTGTTGAGTCTGATATTAATGAAATAAAGATGAATAATTTGAGTAATGCCAGACACCTGCAATCACATAATAAGTGTAGGGTCTACCATTTCACTATTTTACTTTCAGATTTATTATTTTAATACATATCTTGTATCCACACATAATTTCAGCTCAAATCTGAAATGGTGCATTTAAAGACAGGTGCAGGGGTTCCAATTAGAAATTTAGCTGTAGAAAGAAACTAATCTGCAGCAACCTATAATTACAGGTAATTTAATTCAGAGTGTTAATAAGTTATATGTCATTATATAATTATATCTTTGGAACTCATACGAACAGTTTGGAATTCATTACTGAAACCCATTCAGTTATCAACCATAAATACATAATGACACAGATAAGAAACATTCTTACAACTACAAGAATACAGATTATGTTTTTAAATATCAGCCACCTTACTCATCGTCCTGATGATGAAGGCAGCAAGGACCTCTGAAACGTCGGTAAACTTCTACCAGACTACACGGTATAACAACCCAGAAGACAGCCATCTTACGAATTACCTTCTCATTATCTGTTCTGAGTTGCAAGAACATCTCATTCATGTCCTCTTCCAGTCTGTTCTTTATCACTATGTTGAGCTGATCAAACAACCAACTGCGATCACTGTCACCAACCAGTTTGTCATAGTACACTCGCAAGATTTCATGTACCCAGAGCCTCTTCATGGAAATCAAGTCCTCCATAGCCTCAGGTACAGATAGCAACACACCCTGTATGACATAAAGTAAAAATTAATGAGGTAATGTGATGAAAGAATGCATCAGACTAGAAGGAGTAGTATCAAATGTTCTTTCTACATATAAAAGCACGTATACAAACCAACTGTTTACACCTTAAAACACATTGTACCAGACATGTTTCAACCTCATGAGGTCATCATCAGTGGCGTGGCATATTAAATCAGTCCATAAAATCCACATAATTTATGCAACAATGTGTTGTCACAAAACACTGTGTATAAAGATGGTGTCCTGCTCCTTTAAGCCATGTTTATAAACCACACTTTTGTAATAACACACTTTACAGTTTGTGTTGCACACGAACTGGTGTATTATCCCATCGAGTCATCCATATGCCCTGGGTTGTGTTATTGTTCTATTCGAGGCAGAGGTATTCTTGTGATGCAGCACTGTGTATAATGACCAAAGCATCTCTTGTAGCTTTACATTGTTGTCCACCTTGAGCTGTGGCTGCGCCATCTCCACCTTGACCGTCGTGGATTTCTATGTGTGCGTGGGTATTACTGTCAGCTTGGAAAGTGTGGAGGGGGTTTAAAACACTATGGCAAATAGTGTGGCCATCTATTGTATATAAAACGTTACTTTATTATGGTTTACTACTAGGTCAAAAAGCATATCGGAGTCACGGGTGTTCTGTTCATTTATAATACACTGTCCGTAAAATAATGGTGGGGTAACAAACAGTCATAGTTTTGGAACAAAGCACAATAGAGACATGAAATAAACTTCAAAATAAAGAGAAACTCTCCAAGAATCTTTCCTGTTCAGTAGATTTCGATATGTGCTCCTTTAGTTGCCCTGCAGACATCAAGACGATATTCAAGCTCTTGCCATAAACGACTGAGAACATCCGGTGTGATAGATGAAACAGCTTCAGCGATTCGTTCTTTCAAATGGTCCAAATTTATTATTTGGACAGAGAACACTTATTGCTTCACATAACCCCACAAATAAAAATCCATAGGGGTAAGATCTGGAGAGTGTGGAGGCCAGGCTATCCACCCTCCTTGTCCGACCCATCGCTTAGGAAATGATTGGTTTAGGTGATCCTGCACGAATATGGCAAAATGCGGAGGAGCTCCATCTAACTGGAGAATGAAATTCTCCGTTTCTCAATGGGATAATACACCAGTTCATGTGCAACACAAACCATAAAGTGTGGTATTACAAAAGTGTGGTTTATAAACATGACTTAAAGGAGCAGGACACCATTTTATACAGTGTTTTGTGACAACACGTTGTTGTATGAACTGTATGAATTTTATGGACTAATTTAATATGCCGTGCCACTGATTATGATCTCATGAGGTTGAAACAGTCTGACACAACATGTTTTAAAGTGTTTTAAATTGTAATCAGTTGGTTTGTACACATGTTTTTATATATAGAAATTTGATACTACTTGGTGTGCAAGGTTTTAAGATCAAATGTTCTACTTCATTCAATATCACTGGCATGTCTGATTTCAAGTCATGATAGAATAAACAAAATGTTGGTAATAAAGTTCTGGGATAGCATCTTAAAATAAGACACAACTGCTTCCATCCACATTTTCCAAATTCATCATTAACAATACTCCAATTCATCACTACACATCTAACGCAGCTCAGAAAGTATCGTTAGACTGTGAAAGAAATAATAATCACATTGCTTGTTTACCTGGATAACCCTTGAGAAATCTTGCAGGCTGAATAGGTAATGTGACTTGGTAGGTGTTGGCAGCAAGTAGGCTCGTGACTTCTTATAAATGTCTAAAGTTGCCATTACCAGCTGCTCAATGCATGGATCAAACTCTTTGCTGAATCCTCTGCAGAAGATACATTTCAGTAATTAAACAGTACCAGAGTGTATATGCCCTCAATAGCTGTTTCCCCCTACAATTAACTGAATTGCTGAAACTAAATCATTTTTAACTGATGTTAAGCTTTCATAGCTATTTATTATTGATGTTGAACCTGCTTGCAGATGATGGTGCCATGTTAAGTCGGTTTGGTTGATTTTTATCATTGCAGAGGACTGTACTGTTGAAGCCCTGATGATAGAGGCAGTATGGCCCTCTGAAATGTTAGCAACAAGCCAACTCCTACATGACGCCACCATCCAAGAACAGGTCAAATTCAATAATGAATTACTGTGAAATAAGTAATTACCTAATCCTTTTTGATGATAGTCATTCTGTTGGCCAAGAAATTACTTTGCTAATAGAAACTTAACATTCATAACTGTTCCCACTCGTCAGCCAATTCAATCCATTTTACATCAAAATATATTTATTTGTGTATTTAAGATATATATTTTTGTTGCTTCCCCATTTACATACATTTTATGGGTTTCTAACCAACATTTAGATGCATTTCGCATTTTTGTTATGTGTGCTTCACATCCTATCCATCTCTTTCATCATTTCATCTAGGTCAATGTCCAGGCCTGCAGAACTGTCAAGAAAGTACAAGCAAACTCATATTTACATTTTCACTTATGTCTGTTCACTGTAATGCTGTTAAGTAGTAGGAGAACAAATTTTGTAGGTACAATTTGAGGTTTTCACAGTGGTGAATCTGAAGATGGGTGTCTTCTGGGTTGTAGCACTGGGAAATTTACAAATGTTTCAGAGATCCTTGATGTCTCATCGCAACCAGGACATCTGAAACATAGGTAAACTTCTACCAAACTACATGGTGCTACAACCCAGAAGAAAGTCATTTACAAATTATGTATGACTTTGTTCCTGTCCATTGTAACACCTCAATGAGCCTAGGTGACAGAGAGTGGGTTTCAATTCTCAATGTCATTACTTCTCTTGGCAGTGCCTACTCAGGTACACTTGGAAAACACAAAGAATTCAGTACAATCCAATTAACAACAAGGAATGTATTTATCATATATCATATCAGGTAAATAAACATACAAGAGTATAAACAAATTCAGTCCAGCAATTTTTCCCATGCAACCTCCCTGAACACAAAACGCACAAATTAACAAATCCTGATTTAGCTCTTTATACACAATTCAAATACTGGGCCCTACTCATGACTCCATATAATTTTAAGGGGAAAGAAACACATATAACGAAATTTTTACTCTCACCTTTCAAATAATAATAATAAAATATATATATATATATATATATATATATATATAAATACAACATAATCAACTTACCAGACACAAAAATCATCACAAATATTAAAACCATCGCTCCAAGAAAAGGTTTGAAGATTTCTTTCAACATCTTCATGTCAGTATTTGTCTTCACATTCACAAATAAGATTAAACTTAAAATATCACACTTGTAAACTTTAATAATCTGTAGTGTGGATTATAAAATTCACATTAATTCTCCACGTTTGGTGTCGTTTTAACAAAAGAAGTGAGCGAAAGCACTTTAAACGCTCCTATCCCCGTCAAAGCCTAGCGAGCACTGACGTAAGCCACAGAACGTAGTCCCCCTCCCCCACTCCCTCCTACTGTCATGTCTGACACACCAAGACGATGCGAAATAAAATGGGTAGTCATAGATAAGTATCATTTGTTAAATTACCTTCTTCCATTACCAGAATACTCTGCTGTTCGTACAATGACGGTGCAAAGCGAAACAAATCTCAAGGTCATTACGTAAGAGAAAGGGAAAATAGGTCAAATCTCACTACAATAAAATTATACGGGAGTGAACGCAGTAGTGAACACAGACGGAAACATTCTTTATCGTGTTTTTCTTGACAGAACCGGAAGAAAATATTCCTGAGCATAACCACATCTCCCCACCAACGACACGGACCAGACGTACGAAACGAACATCACAGACAGCTGGCCAAAGAAATTCCGTCTTGTATGGAATCCGATGATTCATAACCGCATTTACAAAAGCCCCTATCTTGAGCCAGATGAATCCAACACACACCCCATACCTTACGTCATTAAGATTCATTTTAAAAAAATCCTTCTGTTCCGAATCATCT